GGGGTATGAAAATTTATTATATTTAAAAGGAGGGGCCATGGAAAAATATTTGGAAGGAATAAGGGGCCATGAAAAATTTACCACGAGTTTAGAAATATCTTCCAGCCCACCCCCCGGTATTAATAATGACTGCTCCCTAAGTGGGGTAGGTCTTTTTCAACTATTGTTTTTTAAAAAATTTTTGCTTGTGTCAATATATTTTAAATATAATCCCTTGCATGAATTTTTTCAACTTATAATTTTCCCTATTGAAAATTTGTACACGAATTATTTTTTCTTTCGTGTCTCCCCTACTCCTCCCCCCCCCCCATCACTGCAAATGGCCACATTATCCGGGGGGGGGGGTCGCAAACTTGCAGCTGGAATTGCCTGATGCATTAGCCCAAATACATACAGCCGATACAAACTATTCGGCAGATAACATGTTATTGACACCTACCTTCAATATTAAATCAGTGTCTTGTTTCATAGGGAAAGGCTCTACAAAAATTAAAGATAAATTAGATAACAGCAATTGTTTAGTGACAATTCGTTATCGGTTTCGATACTAAAATTTCACACAAACTTGCAATGTAAAATAGAATAATATCGATAAGCTTACTTTTTGGAATCCGCAATCCTTTTCTAGCTTTCATAGCGCAACTGGCAACCAGCTAAGATGATTTTTGCTATAAGATGATTAATAAAAGTGCGGCAAAAAATCGCGCTGAAAATTTAGATTTGAGTTATTGATTCATTCACACGCAATGCCACGCTTCATTCTTTCCTCACGCGAAAGCGCGTTTATTTCTCCCCCGCGTGTGCTCGCATGGAGAAAATATGAAATATTTTACAAGTTTCATGTCCACACAGTAAGCCGAGGATTCAAAGATCGATTTCAGGAACGAAAATAACGTCCATCGCAATCGTTTACTGTCCCTTTATAACGGTAGGGTTATAAAAATAGATAGAAACAAATATTTTCCCGACAATTGAAAGAAATATTCCGACTGCAGTACGAATAGCAAATCAAACTCCGCGTACTGTTCCAGTACGAATAGCCACTTCGAAACAAGAAACCTCCCACACATCTTTAGTCTTTCACCAAATTCATAACAATGCTGATCTCAAAGACAAAAAGCACCTGAATGAAAAAGGAGTCAAAACATTTGCAAAAGGTTTGAAAGCTGCTTATTTCAACACAACTCCAAAGAAGAAGCCCACCATTAAAAGAAGTGAAGCTGATACTTTCCCAATTGGAAACCACTCGGCATACAACTTACTCCGAAAACCATACAGAAAGCAACCATTCCAATCACCATTCAAACTAGTGATACCCTCCTTTCACTCCAATCATGGACCCACTACAATCAATTCAACAAAATCATCTAACCAAAGAAAACACTCCATTCCCTCCCTCTACTCCCCAGGATCCAACAGCAGGGAAACTGTTACCACCTCAGGTTATCGAACTGGTGAGAAAATTATATGGATGTATTAATACAATATAACATGTACGTTCTGTTTTTATGTGTATGCATGTATATGTATATACATATAATTATATATAAAAACTTCATCTTTCCCACAAACATCTCTAATCTTGCAAAGAGTTATTAATAATTGGCATTCTGTATCAATTCTCTAGCAATACTAACAAAATGACCTCAGACATTTCTCTTAGCACATGGAATATCAATGGTATACAGCTATTTCAATTAAGGTTGTTGTCCATGAGCAAAGCGGAAAAGTCGAATACGAGCGCGAAAGACTGCTAGGAATCGCTAATAAATTAATGAATTTTCAAAGCGATTCCCAGCAGCCTTTCGCGCTCGTATTCGACTTTTCCGCTTTGCTCATGGACAACCTTAATTGAAATAGCTGTATTCAGTAACAGTTTTTGGAGATAATTAACTAAAAACAAGGATTTTCTTGAATCTATTTCCAAAATTGATTTCATATTTCTAACCGAAACATGGACTAAAACATCTTTAAATATTCCAGGATTTGAGACTATTGTCTCTCAAATGCTAAACCAGTTACTAACCAGGCATGTTGACAATCAGGAGGCATTAGTCTGCTATTCAAAAACAAATTTTTAAAATATGTAAGCATAGTAAAAAATACAAAAAAATTCTTATGGAGCAAAATTTCCAAAGAAATACTAAACTCAGACCTGGATTTATACATTTGTGGTACATATATATACCCCAAGAAAAATCAAAATACTTTGAAAATGATATATTTGAAGAACTTGAAAATGATTTAGTACTGTTCTCATCAAGAGCAAATATTATACTTCTTGGTGATCTAAATGCTAGAACAAGTAAACTTGAAGACTCTGTATCAAATGAAGGAAGTGATCAGTGAAAACTCCTTTCAACCACCAGAAAGACAAAACTTTGACACCAACATCAATAATCACAGAAAACAATTAACTGATATCTGTAAACACTGACATGAAAATTCTAAATTGTCGTACTAATGGTGATTCTCTGGGAAGACCTACTTTTCATGGAAAAAACGGAACTAGTACAGTTGATTACATAATCTGTAACCAAGACTTGATACCAAAAGCTAAAAATCTAGTTGTAAAATCCCCCAGCTACCTATCTGATCATCGCCAAGTCATAACCTGGGTTAATTTACACAAAACCACTAACTCTCATAACATTATACCCCCACAACCCTCATTAACAAAATTGCCACTGAAATATATTTGGACTGATATTCGAGTGAAACTTTTAAAAAAGCACTGAAATCAGACGAATTACAAAGACAATTAAAGACATTCCTTGATAACAATTTCTCTTCTGACAAAGAAAGCACTAACAAATGTGTCAATGAATTTCAAAATATTATAAATATTGCATTCAAAAAATCTCTAAAAATTAAAAAGTGTAAATATCGACATAAGATTAATAACATTGCAAACAAAAAATGGTTCGATAAAGATTGTAGATTTAAAAGACACCAATTACGGAAACTAGAAACATAGAGATCCAAATAATATTGAAATCAGGGGGTGTATACAATATCAATCTGAAAGACTATAAAAACACTTTAGAAATAAAAAAGAGCAATTTTCATGTTAATAAAATCCAAGAACTTGAAAATGCTAGCAACGATCTTCTACTTTTCTGGAAAGTACTTTAAGCCTGGTTCACATTGATCGGCAATGTTCTACGATCCATTGTCTGTGAGCAACGAAGAAGAAAATGCACAAAACATTTTATGCATCAACGATAACCGACAATGGGCATCGCCGATGTTTGCGATCAATGTGAACCAGGCGTAAGAACTGCAATGATGACCTTGATCTTAATGATACAAAAAATTACAACCAAGCAGTGCTGTATCCAGGACGATAATTGGGGGGGGGGGGCACATATTCATATATTTGTGTTCTGCTTTATTTTTTGTTCTGCTAGTTTTTATGGTATGTGAACATGAATATATGAATATGTGCC